ACCGATTAAAATCAAACAAACACAAAAATAAAGGAGGACGCTTCCCACACCCGCCCAAAGAAAAAATCAAAGGGTAACGTATCAGCACCAGGCACTACGCACCAGGGCATGGGAGTAACGGAGCAAACAGGACAAAGAGGCGATAGATGGGCAGACAGTAAGACGTCCAAAAACCAAAGGCAAAAGCAAAGCGAGATCAAGGTACCCAACACAGCAGAGTAGGCAGGGAGGTCATGAAAAAAAGAAACACAGCACAAAAGCCGAAGGCAACACAAAGGACATACATAAAGGAGTATAGCATACAGCAAGGAAGGAAACAGGGCGCAACAACATCAGCCGGGTACATAGTTCGCCACAAGTGCTGCCTCGGCCGCCCTACTCGCTTCTACAGCAGTGCCCGTTCGCCGTTTCTTCCCCCCCACCGCCGCTTCGCCGACTCTCTTTCTCTTCGGTCCTGAGATGGCCGTACTCTCTGCTTCTGCTTACCTCGCGCGCTGGCGCTTCGCGGACGCTTCCGCCTCCTGCCTGTGCCATTTCCTCATGAACCATGCCGCCCCGTCCTCGACCTTGTTGTACCACACCTCCGAGTTCTTGGCGCTCTCTTTCCATTTCCCCCCTTCCTTTTCGTCTCCCATGTTGAAGGCCACGAGGTCCTCTCCTAGACGAGACACCCAGTCGCTCTCCTGCCCGCCCCGGTATCCCACGCCCCCCGCCATCGCTCCTATCAGCATGCGCTTGGGGAGGCGGCTGTCCTCCATGCGCATAACGAAGCCCGCGAAACACAGTCTCCGTTTGCGCACGGTGGCCTCGATGGTTTCCTCGCAGCCTGCCTGGATGAGGGCCTGGGCATAGGACAGGGGGCGGTCTGAGCGTTTCCGCTTGCTCCAGCCAATGTACCGTGTAAGGAACTGACGGTGGGTCCCATTGAGCTTCGTGTAGTGCTCCGCTGTTAGGCTCCACGAGGCGCACCCATACAGGAGAGTCTCCACCACTTCAGCCTGGAGTAGCCGGATCTTGAGCTGGCGGTTGGCAAGTCGCCTGTCGTGTATCGAAGCACTGTTCCGGCGGTAGCACTTCCACGCTCGGTAGCTGCGGCTC